TTCTGTGCCCCACAATCTAGCCTCTCAGGAAACATGATAACAGTAACGGCTGCTAGTAGCTGAGACACCAGCCCAGCCAAACACTTCCCAGAGGTTACAGATGTAGGACATGTACACACAGAGCACCTGTCCAGTCGCCACTCAGTTTATAATTGTTCAAGAGTAATGTTTTGTCAATATGTCAAGCCAAAAATATTAAGACAAAATGTTGGATATTGTAATCTACAGCCTTGTCCTTTGAAAACTTTTCATCAGACCACACGCTGACCGGAAACTACTTCTGAACCAGTCTTGCATGATACAACGGCTTGCTCATGCAAATCGTCTATTACGAATTTGTTTGTTAGTTAAATACAAAAGCTATCTTAATGAAAAACTGTAAACATGGAAATCCAGAGGTGCAGCTGATGTGGCCAAGCTCAGCCTCCCAAGCAAATGAAAGGAAGGTGTTCACAATGACACATGTTTCAAAGCACAGCAGGCTTCTGTGCTAGTGTGCACTAGTGCAACCAGACACGGGCTGTGCATAGAGGAGTCACCAGAGGAGCGAGGTCACGATCATGGAGCCGACCACACAACTGTGGTATCTGCTCCCAAGGAGCTCTGCGTTCAGCTGCAGCACAGTTTTGGCTCAAAGTCATGCTGAGCTCCTGCAGGGAGGGAAATGCTCAGAATCAAATTTATCACAAGTCCTCATCCATGCTGAATGGGGGAATGCTCTGTCATGCTTTTTCAGATTACCTTGAGGAACAACCACACTTTTATGTTCAGAAACACATAAAAGGTACAGAAGTATCACATTTGTTGCTTCCAGAGGCACTGTCAACAGTTATTAATGCTTGCACCATGCTTCCTCTAACACTGTTTGGATGAAGCCATTGCTGAAGGATATTTGTCTGATATTCCAGAATATTGTTAATAATGTTTGAGTCTCCTGTATGAAAGTCTAAACTCTCCCTATTTCCCACCAAATGTGAAATGAATCACAAGGTCACCGAAACCCACATCTCCTGCATCCACAAAGCTCCTGCCACTCCCTACTCTTTGAGGGTGTCCTCCTCCCCTCCCTCTCCCTCTTGCTTATATCTGGAAGCAATCATCTTCCTCCACATACCACCAGCAACCATGAAATCCTCAACTGGAGCATAAAGACATGTTTTATATCTTAATATCCATGCATGTGACAACTCTGAAACCTCAGCACCCACTGTTTGAGTTATTCCACAGCTACCCAGCCCTCTCAGTCACCTATAACAGGGTGTGTAGTTATTATACTGTAGCTAAGGTGGTGTGGACTGCCCAATGCACCAAGGACACAAAAGTCATTCTGCTCCTTTTACTGGCTACATGTAATGCTGAGAGCACATATTTTCAGTGTAATATTGTAGATTGCAGTTAGATGATTGTGTCACCCAAATTTAAAGTATATTAATTATATTTGTTAAGTGCTGTCCAGGTATGCAATTGGTTTGGGTTTTATTTTGTTTTTGTTTTGTGGATTATCTCAAAACCTGGGTGAAAAACAATATTATTTACTCTTGCTTGACCCCACAGAGGTAAGTGAGAAGATATGTTTTATAATTTGGGTGAAATAGCCCCTTAAAGTCTTTTTGTTCTTGTTCTAAACTTGACCCTTCACATTTACACTCTGCAATGATAACACACAATTGCAGTGAGAAACCAACAGTACATCTGGAAGTTTTTGGAAATTTTGGTACTTGCTGTAAAATGTGTAGATTTTCTAACTGGCTGAAGCCTGGCACTTTTCTTTGAGGTCTAGAGTGGATCAGAGAAGTCCGCCTGATCAGCTCAAGCCTTACAAAGTGCTTCCTCAGTTTACAGGTATTCTTCTCAAAGCACGTCAAAGAGATGTCTGAGATGGACCTTTGTGTGACTACAGATACCACAAAGCAACAAATTGGCATTTAACTCTGACACTGCAGACCAAACAAATGTTTTTAATGTGTCAAGTCAAAAGAATGTCATGCTTAAATCTATGAAATCTTTAAAGGAAGAAATAACACAATATTTCAGCCTAAGGTCATAGGCAATAAAATGCAACTTTGCTCACGATGGGTTTTACTGTTACAGTCTTACTTGGTATGGTATGACCATTAGCTTATGACGGCTAATGTTGGCTAGTGTTAGCACAATGAAATGAGAAGTAAACAATGTATCATCAGGGGCAGATCTACCAAATTTGGGAAGGGGGTGTCCCTGCCAGGGCACAGGCTCAGAGAGTGGTAGCACATTTGAAATTCATGTAAAATTACATTAAACCTCTAGTTCTATGAAACAATAAATCATAAATTATTAGGATTGGTTTATTTTGTGTAAAAAGTAACTTTGGCTGCACTTCTTATTTACTCCCAGCTGGGACATCAGTGCCCCACAGCTCCACCATCCTTTATAATAGTTGTATTTTGTTTTATTTATCATCATTGTTTTTCTATTTTCATTCAGTAATATTGGAAAGCATCCCATTTTGACTCTGGGAGGGGTGGCCAATCTGATTCTGGGGGTGGCCAGTGCCGCCCCTGGCCGTCCCCTTGGTTTCTCCCATGCAGAACTTTTGTTTGTTTTCTGCCTGTGGTCCTTTATCATGTACATCCTAAGAGAGCTAGATACAGCTGCATACTGTACAGTGCACGAGACATAAGAACAAACATGTCAAACGGATTTTTTCATTCAATGCTTGTTCGCCATTCAGTGTGTGTTCTGTCTGTTTTACTAGTGTTCTGTCACCTGTGGAGTTGGAGTTCAGAGCCGAGATGTTTACTGCAGGCTAAAGGGCACCGGACGAGTTAGAGAGGACCTCTGTGATGCTCACCAGCGTCCTGCTGTTGCCCGACCATGCCAAACTGCAGAATGCACACATTACTCTTGGGTCGCTAGTGAATGGAAAAAAGTAAGAAGACACTT